GCAGTACCTGGGACCCCTGCCCCCTGTCCCCTGTCTCCTGCAGTACCTGGGACCCCTGCCTCCTGTCCCCGGCAGTACCTGGGACCCCTGATAGAGCTCTTAGTATTCTGAGACCAGGCTCATGCAGTCCCTTCCACAGCTTGAAAGTGTCACCTTCTCATCAAACCCAGTCTGCTAAGGCAGAGTGCCGCCCCCATGGCAGAGGGGGACTTGGACGGCGCAGGCCAGGGAGGGGACCCTGACCCTCTGGGGCTGCCAGGGCTGCTGCAGGCTGCTTCTTGCTTGCGTGGGGTTCTGCTGCCTCCCTGAGGAAGAGACCGTGGCTTGGGCCTCTCTCACCCGGGACCCAGCAGGCCCTGCAGGTGTCCCAGCCTCCCTCCCTGCACAGGGAGGAGCAGACCCACCCACAGTAGCCAGGCTCCGGCCGAGCCCAGGACCCACACTGGCTTGGTGTGCTCAGATATCGCCTCCCATGGGCTGTCGTCCCCCCCCCACAGCGGTCAGGCTCACTACCCAGAGAAGCCACCTGCCCGGGGCCTGCAGTACTTCCTGACTCCATCTTGCCCTGCATGGGGACTCCCCAGGCTCCTACAGCTCACGGTCAACAAGTGCTTGTCGAGTGGCCACAAAGGAATGTGTGTGGCCCACAGAAGTGATTGTAAAGTTGCCTTCCAAGGCCTTGAGTGCTTGGGCCAAGGTTCCCAGGGTAGAATCTAGGTGGATGGGGTGGGGGTGGGCGATGGGTGGGGTCTGGCTCCCGTTCTGGCACTTTCCAGCCCCGTGGCCTTGCAGGAGCTTCCTTCCCCCAACATGAGCACCAGCTGCAGAACTGCAGCCCCGCAGCCTGCTTTCCGTGGCGGGTGCTGCTACAGCTGTCACCACGTCACCAACTGCCTGCTCCTGTCTCTGAGACTCTGGTTCAGACCCAGTTTGTGAATTCCTTGCCCTTGGAGAGGTGCAAGAAGGCCTCTTGGTCCTCAGGCTGGCCAGGCCAAGGTGCCGCATGGCCCTGAAGGGCCCTTTGTCTGCATCTTGGACAGCAGGACAGCAGGTTTGGAGAGTGCCCCGAGCTGGCCAGATCCTATGGGAAGCAGTCCTCTGTGGCCCTGGCCACGCCAGGGAGACTGGCCTGTGCAGTTCGAGTTTTCAGGGCAAGGGAGAATCTCTCTCTCTCTCTCTCTCTCACACACACACACACACACACACACAGAGGATTATGTAACTGCGTCCTCCTCCCCTGGTTGGGGAACAACCAATATCGTATAACTCTACTGTACTGTTGTTCTCTTATGTTCAGGTGAAAAAAACTCAGAAATCTATGAGGAGTCATTTTTGAAAAAAGAATAAAAATACAATTGGTCAGAGCTGGGGGTGACACGCAGTGGTCATTGTTTGTCTAGCATCTGTGAGGCCTGGGTTCTGACCTCACACTGCAAACCCAAACGAGTGTGTGTGTGTGAGTGTGCAATATCTATTTCGTGTATGTGTGCAACTGGCCAACCCTGGCTGCATTCGTTGTCCCAGTGTTTTGAAAGTGACCCTGGACTGCTGGCCCTGGGAGGCCTCTGGGGCCGGAGTGGCCCTCATGGGGGCTGCCAGCTGGGAGCCAGTCCCCTGGGCACGGCTGCCCCTCCCCAGCCTGTGCCCCCCGGGCTTGGCCAGGAAGCCGTGGCCTCTCGTTGCCACAGTCCACCCAGCAGCCAGTCCCACATCTGCTCGCTGGACCACACCTGTCCGCCTCCACCCTGACCTTCCCCACTCCTCCCTGCCCTCACTTCCTCGCCCCCAGGTGGGCAGGGTGGTGATCTTCAGCAAATGCAGAGGAAATGCGGTGGCCTCTGCCTGGCAAGGCCAGAAAGAACCAGTTCTGACCCCAGGCCACCTGTGACCCTGGCCTGGATTCTTGGGGACCAATAAAAAGTCAAAGAATAGCTCCCAAATCAGGAGGGGAGAGGAGAATCCCTCCATGGCCGGCGCCTCTGCTTGTGTGGTTTCTGGGGCCCCTTCTGTTCGGAGCTGGGTCTCGGGAGGGGCTGCCTGCAGCTTGCTGGGTTTCTCCCTCCTCTGGCCACTGGCTGCCTGCGGTGGGCCTTGCTGCCTTCTCTGCTTCCAGACCCAGGTATTCCACCACCCAAGTCCAAAGGGACGGATTTTGTCCAAGGATTCATTGGTCACTCACCAACTAGTTAAAAAAAACAACAGTCTGATTTGTCACATCGGCGCGTTTACCTAAGGGACGCTCTGGCTCTCGCACTCCACCGTTTCGCCATGTTGTCTTTTGGTGGCATTTGGTTCCGTGCACCAAATGACACCTGTCTTTGCTGGCATTTTAATAGCCCTTGTGGGGCAGGCGGGAAGTGACACGGAATGCAGGAGCCGCCCCAGAGAGCCCTTGTTGGTCGGGACCTGGAGGAAGGAGCGCCCTCCTGTGCCCTGCCGAGGCACACAGCTGAGCACTCCCCGGCCTCAGTGACTCGGGGAGGTTGGAGAAATCGAGCTGGAAGGAGCCTGTGTCTACGGGGTGCAGGGCTGTGGGGAAGGCCACGGACCTCAGCAAGAACAGCTCCCGGGGCCCCATCACGAGGCCGCGGCTGGCTGCCGTGTCTTCTTGGGTACAGTGGCATGTGAAGTCTGGGTGCCTGTCAGGCCCCTGGCCATGGCGAGTCCCAGATCAGGGGCCAGTGGCGATCTCTTCTACTGTGGTGCTATTGCCTCGGCAGCTCTGACCCTGGGGGTGGGCAGTGTAGGGCATCCAGTGCCACCGCCCCCACACTAGATGCCAGTAGGACCTTCCCCCAGCCCCAGGGCAAGGAAGGACCCCAGACATTGTCGAATGTTCCCGGGCGGCATCGCCCCAGCTGGGGCATGCTGCTCCAACAGATCTCCTGGCTGTGGGCTCTCGCAAGACCTTAGGCCGACCCTGTCCCGGCTGCCCCGGGCGGTGGAGGCCAGGGGCAGACGTGGGGAGCCTGGCTGCCGCCTCTGCAGGGGGCAGCTCCTGCACAGACCTGTCCTCAGAGGGGCTTAAGTGCTGCCGACTCACACAGCAGCCGGAGGGCTGGGACCGCAGCTCGGGAGAAGGGAGCTGCCCATGACTCAGGGCGAGGGAGCCCGGCGGCCTTCCGCTCCGCTCCCACACCCTCCTGCTGGTGGCGTCCCATGCAGGAGGGAGCCGTGCCAAGCAGGTGGATGACATAAGGTGCTGAACGCGACCTAGGTGGAGAGGGTCCCTGGGGAGCCTGGAGTCGGCACTGAGACACAGCGGCCGGACGCTGGGCCACTCTCCTTTCCTTCCCCGTGTGAGTCAGAGCAGAGCTGCACAACTGCAGCTGGACGGGAGGCTCCGTGGGCCCGGACGCCCCAGCCCAGCTCTGGAACACAGCCAAAGCCGCCAGTCCCGCCTGCCTGGGAGGGGGCTGCTTCCTCCGCAGACTCCATGGGGCTCCCGTAAGCCAAGGCCGCTCCCTGAGGTTCCTAGAGCTTTAGGGACACGCGCAGGGCAGGTGAGAGTCCAGCAGGGCCCCTCCTCCTCAGGGAGCCTCGGTGGGACTCAGGCCCACTGCCCCCCGGCTCTGCCAGCCCCAGTCCTGGCTCCAGTGGGCGCCTGGGTGCCATCTTTCTGCTTCGTTTCTGCACTCAGCCCCCTTCCCAGCCTGGGCCCCGGGTACGTTTGCTGTTTGTTTATTTATTTCACAAGCAGCTGAACAGAGAGGATCGTAAGCCAGCGCTGTGCTAAGCTCTTTGCAAATATTAACTAACAGTCGTGAGGCGGTGAGCACGGCCTGGGGGGCAGGGGCCCACACGTGTGGCCCTCTGGGGCCTTTCTGTGGAGGAGCGAGGAGAGGTTCAGAGCGCGTCCTCAGTGTCGCCTCCTCCTGCCTGCAGGAGGGGAAACCACCTGCCCTTCTCACGCCAAAAGCCTTGCTACGTATGGCCCCCGGGGAACTGTCCCCCAGGACTTGGGAGAATAGAACGACTGCTGCTCGCCTGCCATTCGCCTGCTATCCCCTCCACCACTCCCTCCAGGAGGGCCAGGGTCTCCCGCCACACACGCGGGCCCCTTCATCTGGGTTGACACCTCCCTGGAGAGGCCGTGCCTACCTGCTGCTGAGCCTGCCTGCCCTGGCTGAGTACCGCTCGCTGCAAGGGCATGGCCCTGGC